ATAGATTAAGAGTGCTTTAAATGTATTTTTTATATATTAATTTACATAAAAAATAAAAAATTGATATTAATTTTAATACTTATACCATATAGATATTTTTAATTGAATATAATAAGTAAAATTAATGTAAACCTTTTTTTTTTTGTGTATATTAATAACAAAAAAGGTGCAATAATCTTTGCTAAAAAAAAAAAAAATCCTAAAAGAATTACGTTGCAAGTGGTGATCAGGAGAAACATTCAATATGAGGAAATTGAATTCATGGTGCAGTGCAGTGCTAGGGGTTACATGCCTATACCATACCAAAAAGAAATGTTGGAGCAAAGGGGGAACTAAAATTGACACTCACTCTAAACTATAGCTTACCATGGCATGCAAAATGGAAGCTTTGGTTTCCCATGCTTGCCGTGTTCGTCTCTAATTGGACCCACACATGGACACCACGTTCTTCCATTCATTCGAATTTACCACTGAAAATATTGCATATATGGAACAACACTTGCACTTGCCAAGTCAATTTCATTTCTTCTTCTTATTTTGTTCGATCAAAAAATTCAATCACCTACAAATTATTAAACAGCTAGGTTTCTTCTCTCAATGTGTCTTTAAAAAAAATATTTTAATAGTGTTTGTTGACAATAGCTAGGAAAATAATTGGTATGTATTTGATTTAACATATTTTTTGACATTTATCTCAATTTAATTATTAAAATATAATATAAATGCAACTAATTCAACCAATTCCTGCCACCTATATGAATGCTTACATTTTTAAATTTATTTGTATTGAATTTCAAATTAAAGTTAACGATTTAAATAACTTAATGATAATTTTTTTTTATTAAAAGTAAAAAATTATGAATTTGGATCCTATAATATAAGGATGGGATGGGTTGAGGAATGAATAAGGATTGCTTCTCACTGTGCAATCTAAAAGATTCGAAAATTAGATTAAAAAGTAGTGATTTTTTTAATAAGTTATACAATATATTGAATCGAAATATATACCAATCAATGTTTTATTAATTGACAAATAACCATGTATACATAATATGAAATGAAAAAAAAGTAAATGTATACTTATTCGCGCTTTACATGAGAATATAACATCATAATTCTTGAACAAGCAAAACATGTTCATTCAAGAACTTAAAATTTATAATTCCGACTGTAAATATTATTTATTGTGTTATTACAAAATTAAGTGAAAAAAATGATCTTTTTTTTTTTTTTTTTTGCCTTTTTCTTTTAATTAGTTGGTTGAGAGAGTGGGACCTAATGGAAGAAAAAGCATGTGCTGAGATTCATTGGAGAAGGGACCCACAAAGTGGCCATGTGAAGTTGTTTGCTTATATGGTCGTGTGTGTCGCCAATGTCCCCAACCCTATCCCAAGTGCACCGCTAGCTGCTGGGCATCCCACTGCCCCTCCCCCTCTTTCTCCTCTCATTATTCTTTTTCCAATTCATTTAATATTCAATTAAATCAATAAAATACCCCAATCCAAACAATAATAATTAAATATATTTCCTAAATGTCCTCATCACTCATAGACAATGCCCACAGCCTCCCACATGAGAATCTATTGAACTAAGACTAGGGCACTTTGGTTTTAGGGTTACCCTACAAAAGAATCCCATAAAAAATGGGGCACTCATCCCTTTCATCATTAATAATCATTTATAAAAATGATAATTCAATCATTATTGACCAAATAAATTCATTGTTTAATCAATCTGTGGGCGGTGGTTATTTTATAATTGGAGATTATAATTAAACAATGTTGTAAGGTCAAAGTGCCCTTGTTTAGGGTAGGATTAGGGAGAATCCAAAAAGGAAAATAAAAAATATTGGGTGAGGAAAGGACCATTTTATGTGACAGATTCTTTGTGCCCATTATCCTTTCAGCACTTTGAGATCGGATCCTTATATATGAATGTTGTTGCTAAAAAATATATAATTGACTACATTATGCATCAATCACAATGCAAAATATAATTAACATCTTTTAAAGATAATTTTCAATTTTTTAGGACGGTATACAGCACTTACATTTTTTTTTTCAAAGGTTATATTGGGATGGAGAATTTTTTTGGAAGGCGGGACTATAACCTAAACTTCTAAAATATCGGGTCTCAGTGTTAGCCACTAAGTTAAAGTTTTGATTAAGGAGATGCATGGAGTTGATTATTTAGGGGAAAATAAAATGGTCAAGAAAGTATAGATTAATTTATACAATTGGTTTCCTTGCATTATAGCTAATTCGCTGCCTTGAAAGGGGGTAATTAACCCTTAAATCTTTATGTTTGGATTTCCGTGGCTTGCACCTTATTATTATTGCATGACGCACCAATCATGAAATTTCTTTTCACGGTTTTCGATTTTTGGTGTGGAAGATTATATTTTTCAATATGGATAGTGAAAAAGAGTCCAGTCAAAATTATTAAATTATTTATATATTTTTATTGACTCCTTATTGATTTCAATTGAAATAGTTTGATTTTTTTAAAATAAGATATTAAATTCAAGTATTGTTAATGAAGAAACAGTTATTGTGAGAACTTTTCTCTTTATAAGGTCCAGTGTAACTCGATTCTAAATTAATTAAGATTCAATATGAGATGATCAGATATCAAAAAGTTAATATCTAAAAAATTATTCATATATCCTTTATATGAATCAATTAGTGGTATTTTAGTAAATATTATTTTCATAACGGATTGCTCCCTCTTGTGCCATTCCATTAAAAAAATATCACTCTTTAGTGACAATACGTCACAATATTCTCTCTCTCTATTTTCATTTTTAATCATGAAAAAGTTGCAAGTTGAAGCTGATTATTAATACTAAAAGTTCTACAAGTATGGTCAGAAATGATTGCTGATCCACATTTGATCCAATGAAGCTTACAAGAACATGGATAAAATTGTTTTCAAATGCACTGTATCTTAGTGCCCACTGTTTCTTCCGTGAACAAAATGTTCAAGGTATCATTCAATATGTCCCATAAATACAGAGAAAGACAATTAATGATGTCGCGTAATTTGTTTTGAATTTGATGGTTAATTATATATAGAATTAATGATGATGCTTAAGATTTAAATGTGAAGGGTCTTTTCAACCTTTACTGTACAAGTTAATATCGAACATGTTTATTATATTTTTTTATTATTAATTTGTATAGAAAATTATGAAAGTAATATTTATTTTTAACACCAATATTACATGGAATTATTATATAAGACAATTAATAAAACTTAAATCAATTTTTATTTTTTTATACAGATTAATAGTGAAAAGTTATAATAATTGCATATTCCAAAAGTGAAACCTTTCATTTCTTAAAGAGAAAGAATTTAATTATAGCATCAATCTTTGATTTTAAAAAGCAAACTATTGACTTGAAGTATGTAATTATGTAAATGTGAATGCATGCTATAATTTGCTTGCATTTGAAGTAATATCTGCTGTTGGAGGAGACATAACCCTAATTAAAGTTAAGTTAGTTGCTTAACTAACAAAGTGATTCTTTTTAATCCTAATTTCAAGAAAGTTGCAATCATAGATGATGAACATTCCTTATTGGATAAGTCAATTTTTTCATAATTAATTTGTCCTCTCCTTTCATCTTCAACTTAATTAATTACTAACATATTGCTAATTAAAATGTGTGGCGGTGGCTTTGACCATGTTCCCCAATAGGCTAATCCTTTGGATATTGAAAAATTAATACGAGTTGGGCCAATTCAATCTTTTCTGTGCAAATAACATTGTTTTGTGGATCGAATGCCTTCAAAGAATGAGAAAGATGAGTTTTTTTTTGTTTTTTTTCTTTTGTTGTTGTTGTAAAAAGAGGTGAGTGTAGTTTAAAGTGTTATTCGTCTATAATCTATACGTGTTTAATTAAAACCTAGTGAACATGATCAATAAGGTTCAGCCAATGACATGTTTGATCTAGTGACAAAGACTGAGACCTCATAATTTTAAGGTCATGGGTTTGACTCTCGTATTTGATGGGTTTTTTTCAAATTTTGTTCATATTTCTATATCGTATTTAAGTCGAGATATTTATGTTGTGTACAATTTGTACACTATTATGTTTATAATCTACTTTCTATCCAAAACAAAAATCAATAAAGTCCTTAAACATTGGCTTTTGTTAATTAACTAGCTATAAATTTATAAAGGCATAAATCTCACATCAATTCGATACAAAAATTATATAAATATTATAAACTTATAATTATTACTAATTAACAACTCAAACTTGAACTTTATCAAAAGTTACATTGTTGAATTTAAAGTAGTGATTTGAAATCCTTTTGAGAAATAATCGAAAAAACAAAAACAAAAAGTAAAGGAAAAGAAATTCTTCTTCTGTCACACAATAAAAACCAAAGACAAAAGTAAGATGGTGATGTAGTACTAATCAAAATTGGACAGTATGATAAAAAGTTGGAATTGCCGGATGCCCTGTCCTAACTTTAGGTGCCATAATGGGCTAGACAGAGTTACTCATCATGAAAGGCACCAAAACACAACCCATTCCATGAAATTAATAGCACAAAAAAGATGCGAGTCTGGACCAACTAACCTCAGCAAAAAAAA